AATAGAACTATTGTAAAAAGGAAAGCAATTTTCAAATAGTAAGAAAGAGGTAGTTCAAATGAATTGAGAATTATTAATTTCATTTTTATCAATGTATGAAATTCATACAGTAATTTTGAAAGAAAATTTCAATAGTGCCTTTTTATATAAACTGTTAATATTGTACAATTTTAGCTCTGAAGAAGAAAATGAACATTTTCGAAAGTTTGGAAAATACTAAAAGGTAACTGATTTTCCTATATATATATATATATATATATATATATATATATATATATATATATATATATATATATATATATATATATATATATATATATATATATATATATATATATATATATATATATATATATATATATATATATATATATATATATATATATATATATATATATATATATATATATATATATATATATATATATATATATATCATGTATATATGATTTATACCATATCCTGTGGTGTCATGTGTTTCTAAATTCATAATTTAGAGCAAAGTTCTCAATTAATTTCTCATTGAATATGTTTAAATTCCGATTAAGCTTGATAGAAAATTGAACTATTGAATTTTTGAAGGATTACAAAACTTTATTGAATTTTACTTTTTATTTCCACAGTTCCTGCAATTCTAATTGAAGGTGTTTCGGATTTTCTTTACGGCATCATGATTTTCTAGTTAGAAAATATCCATAATAAAACAATATTTAAAATTTTCTCATAATTCAATATGAAGTACGCATGACGACGTTTCTAAGACTACTTCTCTATCAGATGCTTGATTAATACTATGTGAAATTTTACAAAGTCAGTACTTATAGCTATTTTCACAGAACATACCAGGTATGTTCTATGACTAACTTGGAATGAGGATCATGGAATACACTGATATTTAACAAAAGGATCGTATACATGGAGATGAACACAGAAAATCAATTTCTTGAGTCAGGTAAATCAACTAAATGTAGGGAAGATACAAATATACAACTAAGATTTCTAAGAACAAATAAAGAAAATTTAAAATTTTTTTAACATAAAATATAAACTTGAATGTAAATTAACTAAAACTTAGGTAATCAATCTGATCTGCTAACTGGAATATTCTTAATGAACATATTAAGTAGAGGGCTAGCGTTAACCTCTTACTGGCTATTGAGTAGAAGTCCCGAATTTTTGAATCTATTAATATGTAATGATTCTAGGAAATTTAGCTTGGCCCCTTCATTCTCTCTATTCAATATTTCAAACTCTGAACTGAATATATGACTTTCTTCTAATAAATGGTTAGCATAATGGGAATCTGTTTTCTGTTTCTCAAAACAACGTTTATGTTCCGATAATCTGATTTGGAAATTTCTGAAAGTTCTTCCTATATAAAATTTTTCACGACTGCCACATTTAATTCTGTAAACCCCACACATTAGATTTTTATTGATTTTTGATTTATTATTTTTGATTATTTTACCAATGTTATTAGTGGTCCGAAAAAAAATATTAATCTTATAGCTTGCTGAAAGTGATTTTGATTTAATTTAGTGTCCACATATATGTAAACAATATATATCGACTTTTCTCTCAATAAGAGGATAAACTTCTGAAACCGCTCTTTTGAAAAGTTTTTTGTTTATTGAGTTGTTTTTATTTCGGGTTGGTAACCATTGTTAGAGGCTATTTGCATAATTAAGCTTTTTTCTTCGTTGAAAGCAACGTTCTAAAGCGAAAGGTTAACAAGTCTATGAACCATACTATTAAATGATGACATTTTTGGTTGTATTGTGTAAATTGGTTGAATTATTGTATCCGTGTGTGATGGTTTGTGATAAATAGAGAACGAATGTTAATTATCTAATTTTTTGATTGTTAGGTCTAAGAAATTAATTGAGTTGTCACGTTCTTCTTCTAATGTAAACTTTATTTTGGGGTGTATCGAGTTAATGAGATAAAATATTTATAAAAAGAAGCAAAATGATAGAGGAGAAATTGTTATCATTAAAGTTTTGTGTGTGTTAATTGTGTCACAATGCTATCTTTTGTCAACCTGTCCCCGTTATCGAGAGTCAGTTACATGTTAGTACATATTTTGGAAATATTCTGAATGTTCACAATAATGCAAGGGGGTTGCATAATCTTGAACACGTTCAGAATTGCCAACAGATTTCCTTGCGTGTTCAACAGTGTATGAGAATTCAACAGAAATTCATAAATAAAATATATCTAGATACAACGTGTTTGCTTCCATTAGCGGTCCTGAAATCGCATGAGGGATGTAAAATGATATCCGGAATGACAAGATAATTAATGGCCAGCTTGCTTTCTACTAATTGTTATGATTTATTACTCCAATTGAAGGAAGATTTAATTAGGAATGAGGCTAAGCGGAATGACAATAAATAAATTTATTGTCAGTAGAGAACCATTAATCAGATTAATCTCAAAGTGGTAACATTTTTCCATATTTTTCGGCAAACGGGAGTGTTTTTTCTGAAAAAACAATGGATATGAGAATTCGAAGTGTCAGGTATTTGAACTTAGTTGTCAATAATTCGATGGAAACTTATATTTCTATTGGATATTCCTATGGAGGTGAATCATAATTTCAGTTCAATATTGTTATGGAGATTATATCCAAATAGAATCAAAGACGGAAACATTATTGAAATAAAAATTTCAAGAATGGCAAATGGCAACAGTAGTTTCAAGTTTCACCTTCGTTGAATGGTCGTTGCGATGTCTTATGGAGTTACTGTTTCTCTCAAGGTATATTGACAACATGTCACACCACGTGCTTGTTCACATTATATAATTTGACATTGGGTTATCGGCAAAAGGTGGGCAGAACTAATTTAAGCGACTATCGTCGGCAATTCTATATTCCAAACGCAATTCTGTTTTTTTTCAGAAATACTGGAATTATGGACAAGGTGTTAATTAAATAGTTAGAAATTGTAGAAAAAGGAAACCTACATCTGACATTAGTCAATGAAACAACAAAAACGACACAAAAGTCATCCAACAGTTATTAGCAATATAAAGGCGACAGTGCTCAACAACGTAAAATCTATAAATGACATACAAACAAACTCATGAAGCGAGGTTAAATCATAGAACGAATAAGTATGACACATCAACGTAACAAATCTGTAATGCCACAGAAAACAATCACAACACGACCGACGGTTCCTAGCCATTGGAGATTTGGCCAGGCTCATCCAAGGATGACAAATAACTATACACACAACTAAGGCTCTCAATATCAGTTCTTTTGTTGGTGTTATAAGGAGTATTGTTGATATAGCACATCTCCAAGAAGATTATTTTCTTATATTTGGTTTCAATGGAGAGAATTTTCGGTTCCTCCAAATTGAATCGATGCTCTAAAGAAGATTTTCGATGCATGATTTGCTAGAGCGCACTTTTGCGGTTGTAATCTATCATCACTTCTATGGATGGCCAACCTTCTTTTTAAACATTGGGTAGTCTGACCGATGTAAACTGATTGACAGTCACTGTACCGTATAAGATAAATGCAATCCGCCAAGGCTAGTGTTAGTATTTTTTACTTCAACTTGCTTAACAGGTTAGGGACAGAAAATGGATTGTATCTGGCCACTTCAATATCAGGTACACCTCCAAGAATAAGGGTTAACTTTTGCGTTAATCCATGCTTGAACTGCAACGAAATTTGCTACGAATTGCTCTCTTTAGGTATATCACCGTTAATAGTTGTGTTATCGACAGACCTAGAAGAAGCGGTCGTTGAAAACTGCTGAAAGCATTAAGCCAGAAAAGATTTCAAGTATCCATTTTCTAGAAATATGTTGAAGAGCCTGACTTCAGCAGATCTAAGGTATTGAGGATGACATATAGATTTAACCCTATGTAATATCGCCTAATCAACCTAATTTTTATACTCCAATTGTGATTCGATCTTGCGTGGATATATCTTCCTGGTGAAGTCTTTTTTGGAACCAATCCAGTTTGATAATATTGTTATACTATATTATCAATACTATATATTATTGATACACTATATTTATTTAGATATTTCTAGCAATAACAGGGTTTTTGTAAAGCGGAATTATTCATTTTATTTGTCATTTTTCCAATTTATTATTATGTCATTGAATGGGAGAATAATGGTATTTTCTATAATTCTTATAGAGAAATAGCCGATGACATGTTTTTCGGACCTATTGGTTCGTTCTGATTAGACTGGATTGGCTTATCATGAAAACGTATATCTACTTATATTTGACGATGAAACATAAAAGTGAAATCTTCAGGAAAAACAAGCACCCTTATACATGAACATCCATACAGGGATATCTGTTTTTCGTTTTCTTACACACTTTTATATAAAGAATTTCAATAAAAGCATTTCATCCAAAGATAAATTACTAAATGAGATATTCCGAATTGTTATCTAACTGCTGGTACCTTTCACTTGTGAAAACCGAAAATACCGATCACAGGTTATTGTGATAAATCGCTCGAATGTAGTGGAATGTGGCCCATAGAGAAGACATTGTGAAATCGAATCAGAAGGTTATCGCGTAAAAGAGTTTCAGTTTTTCAAGCTCGTTGGTTTTCATCAGAAGTCGAAATCCTGTTGCAGGAAAAGTTTTGCAAATTTGCAATTCGTATCGAAACGTCAACTAAAATGAAGTCTATGCAAACCTAGATGTAAAACAAACAAATAACATCTTCAGTGGACGAGCGCAAAACAGTAGGTTAAGGTGTGATGTGATGTCATATCACATCACGCTCGAAAGTAATATTACTCCGTTATATCACAGTATCACTCCATCACGTTAAACATAACTCGCAGACCATCACGCGTGCTGATTCGGTTCATCACGTTGCGTACTGCGTAATGTAATTTTTTTTACCTACAGTTTAACACCGGTTCCAAAGGCCACTTGGTTTGTAATCAATGGGCATTACCAGCATTCATCATCATTTAAACTTCTCAAAGCATAGACAAACACAACGATCCATGCGTTCAGCACGGCTCGAACCCGCGTTCTACCGTACCATAATCGGGTGTTCTACCGACTAAGCTACGAAGACCGGATACGTAATAAGATGTTTCACCGTAATTTTACTTGGCAAGTGGCATACATTACATTTTGTGATGGCGTTCAATTATTCTATTATCGAATATATGAGAAAATAAAATGTATTTCTTCGGTGCCTTATTTTCTGTAAATCCAGCTTTATAAAGGCCCCAAATTTTATACTATACAAATTTTAATTGATGAAGAATTATATCATGTGGTGGTTCTATTATCGAGTGTACGTGAGAATGAAATTTATTTTTTTTCGTCTCATTTTGTGAAAACTTGGCGATCTTTATAAAAGCCCTAATTTAATATAATTTCATACTATAGTGATTCAAATCAATATATAATTATATTATGTAATGGTGTTCTATAATCCACTATGAGTGAAAATAGAATTTATTTCTCTGTTACCTCATTTTATGAATCCATCTTTATAAAGGCCCTAAATACTAGGTACTTGTCGCCCAGAAGCATCTTTCATATTTCACGAAATTTCCGAACCGAAAATTCAAAAAACTCAAAAGGGTATAACACTGGTAGAACTATAAACACATAAATAAAATACCTTGGTATATACTGAACTCGAATCAGCCGTTGACATGTGGTTTGAATATATTTGATGTCTTGAAAACGTCGTAATTCGAGTTTCAGATGTACGACTGAATAATAATAATAATAATAATAAGTTCTTTATTTTCAACAGATAAAACACCTAATTATAGAAAATAATAACAATGTTAAATACATAACTAAATGATTAAAATGAAAAAGATATAACAAAGAGCTCAATCTAATCTAAAAAAATAGTACCTTATAACTACATTATAGCATTCAATGAGATATTACAAAGAACTCAATCTGAATAAATTAATTTCAGTCGATTTTCTTTGTTCACATAACTCCTGATAATGAATTCTATGGAGTCATAGCGAATGTCACAATTATTGTCAAGTCCATTGAATGTAGACTCCATAAACCAAATGGGGATTGCATTAGGGAGTTGATCCTCGAAGTCTCTAGGTGAAATAATTTTGTATTAGTAGTTTTTTGCCTAGGAACACGAAATTTCAAAGCGATCAAGAGAGGAGGACAATCAATACTATTTTGCAGTAATTTTTACAAAAATTTGAGTGATAGAGTTTTTCTTCTGCTCTAAAATGACATTGAACTAATTCGACTCAAAATTTTTTATGATTGACTCCTCTCTGTGGATAAACTTTATCCTTCCTCCACACTAAAAATTTCAAGAACCTTCTCTGAATATCCTCAAGATGGCGTTGATGGCAAGTGTAAATGGGATCCCAGATCATGCTGCCATACTCCAACTTGCTTCGGATTAAGGTATAAAATAGTCCTATGAATGTTGAGGTATTATTAAAATATTTGCCAATACGTTAAACGAATCCACATATTTTCGCAGCAGATGAAATAAGTTGGGTGATGTGTGGGACAAAGGAAAGCTTCTGGTCGAATACTACACCAAGATCTCTCAACTTATCAGAACGAGAAAGAACCTGACCACCGACGCTGTAATCATAGTCAATTCGGTCTCTTTTCCTTGTGAAAGAAACAACATTACACTTTGACACAAATTTGAAGATTGAAACACGAGTGAAAATGCATGAAAAATCAACAATTCATGGCATCTCTTTCTGACTATATAATTCAAACAATGTTAAACCCTTTTGATCCACAATTATTACTCCACAATTTCTTGTTTGTGTATCAAGAAATTGACCAACAATCAAGTATTGAAGCAATAGGAATTAATTTGAGATCATAGTCACTCTTGAACGGTATTTACACTTCTGAGAAGAGTATCAGTTGCTCTAGGTCAAGATATACTTTCGCGCTTGCGTAAGACATACGATACGGACTCGGTGATCGTATCAGGATGCTCCAGCGTCAGTCTGCACGCGTCTCGACGCTCCTTCAAGTGTCGGAGGGATGCCGACGGAAATGCGAATTCGCGACGCAGCTACGGCAGTCGTAGTGTTTTTACGATGTTTGGAGCACGTCAGCGGTATAATGGATCCGAATATAGGTGAGCGGAAATATATGTCGAAATAGGCACCAGGTGAAATATGATCGATTACTTCAGCGGAGGAACTAAGGAAAGATATTGCTTTTTCAGCCAAGCAATTGATTGCACTTTGAATAACACATTTTTGATGAATTCTTTGAAATTAAATCGAAAAATTCTCACTTATTGAATTATTTGATGTTTCTAAATTGTATCAACTCAAAATTGATGATCTCAGCAATAACAAGGTTTTGAATTCTATTAGACGTTTCACTACAAATTGAATCATTATTTCAACTTCGAAATGAAGTTATATAGTTACTACTTCAAACAAAAACAAATTCATAATTTGAATTCGGCTGTCACGTTTCATTCTCTCGAATCGAAAAATACGGGACCAGCACTCGCTAGAAAGTATAATATTTCCCTTGTCACGAGGAAAACTCTGTATATGAGCATGAAAATGAGCTTATGGAGATAGTGATAGTGTTATTAATGAGATTCTAAGGTCAAACTGTCCCAAGATATAGAAACCCGTGAATGCACAAATACTCAAATGAATGTGCAGTATAAACACAAAATAACCAAGAAGCAAAAAATCGAAAGAATTCCAGAAACTGGAAGAGTTACTATAACTAGAGAAATTTCTTTTGAATATATCAAAATCAACGAAATATATCGAACTCCGTAATTTTTTGTGCATTCGTGAATGCACAATATATGGCATAAAAACACAGACATTTTCAGTGATATATATATATATATATATATATATATATATATATATATATATATATATATATATATATATATATATATATATATATATATATAGATATAGATATATATAAATATATATATATATATATATATATATATATATATATATATATATATATATATATATATATATATATATATATATATATATATATATATATATATATATATATATATATATATATATATATATATATATATATATATATATATATATATATATATATATATATATATATATATATATATATATATATATATATATATATATATATATATATATATATATATATATTTGAAACTGAATTATTGCCTGTTTGAAAAAATTTCAAGAATTAGAAAAAGACAAAAAATATAGGCAAATTTTGGAAATGTTACACATTCCTAAAATTTGATAAACACAGTTTTTGAAAGAACATGCACTGAACATCTCCATTCTCTTCACAAAAATTCGATAAACCTTACAGATTACACTCATAAAATGAATACAAAACAATCACCAAACATCACATCTCAGAACTCATTTTTTCCAGATCTTTTTTCAATTTCACACACATAAACAAATTAATATACATATTCTGGATTTCTGGATAAGTGTAAAACTTAACTGTAAGTATTCATATATACATATATATATATATATATATATATATATATATATATATATATATATATATATATATATATATATATATATATATATATATATATATATATATACGTATATATAAATCACACTCATAAGAATCACCTGGTTCGCCATCACTTTTTGAGAGGTTTCCTCATGGTGAAGAAGACAAAAACAGCGAATGCTTAGCCAGAAATATTCGTCTGATACTAAAAATCAATATGTGAAAATACAAAAAAACTAATTTGATATTTCTGAAAAACAAGTTTGACATTTTGATACCTATAGTAATTTATAGAATTCAATTATTCATTACTTTCGAAAAAGTTGTGATATACAACGAAACGTTAACGAAAATAAAGTTTTTCATATTATAAGAAGCCTGTTATTGCTAAAAACATTCAATATATATATATATATATATATATATATATATATATATATATATATATACAATATATATAAAAAGAACAGGATAGAATGTGCACAAGTTGGAATGCCGTTCTTTATAAGAACAGGTCAGAAGGAATACAACTAAGTGAATGCAAATAGAAAACTAATTTCATTGATCAACATTGAAAATAAAAATGCAGAATATTTGAAATAAAGATAATAAAATATAAGTAATAAATATATGGATAATTTGGGAACTTAATATTTAAATAGATATTACAATATGAAAGAGAACGTTAAACATATTGATGTATGAAATGATGTATGATAAAAAATATATATGAATGTAACTACTATGAAATTTCTGTTTGAGAATTTATGTAATGTATGATGATGACAATGTAGTTATGAATGATTAGAGGAAATGATTATGTATGATGAATGTAAAACATTTGAAGAAGTTATTTGACAGATATTCTATAAACAATGAAAGATAAATATAATTAATGTAGAGAATATTTTCAAATTGAAAAATGTAAATTTGGTTTTTCTTTTCTAGAAAAATTTACAATTTTTATATAAAATAAAAACAAAATTTAGGGGAATTGTTATGGTAAATTTTCATGCAATCTTTAAAATGATATATAAATAAATAAAGTTCAATTTTTCTCAAGGTGATGCTTCTAACTTGCTAAATGATTGTTTCGACAAAGTCATATTTCATGCAATTTACTTTATTATGAAAGATTTTAAACATACATACAGTTTTGTAGATCTAAGTAATTCCATTCAATAATATGTTAATGTATTTAAATTTATCTCAAAAGTTGATAATCTATAATGTTGTTATTCACTTTTCAACACAGCACATTTTTAATAACATCACTTGTATGTAGTTAAGTATGTAATGTTCATTTATTTTGATTTTTATAATTATGTATTTCTTGTATAACTCATTTCTTCTCAAATAATAGTATTCACATAATGTAATTGTAAAATCCATTTCCAAAATGTCATGAAATCGATCTAATAATCAAATCAATATAAAGAATAGTTAATATATATATATATATATATATATATATGTTTCGAAGAGAAGTTGAAAAGAAATCGGAGCGGAAATAAAATATTGGAAAATAAAATTGGAGCTGAAATATAGAAATTCATGAAAATTAGTATAAGC